ATAGTGTGACTTTTCTTTTTCTCTGTCTTCTCCTTTATCCTCCATGTTGTTTTTGTAGCTGTCTTTTTGTCACCATCATCAGCTCAGGAAGTAGGGTGGGATGCAAGCAGAGCAAGGGAGGTGGGTTGTGTTACCATAGCAACAAGCTGACTCACTGGCAGGACTGTACCATTTTTGGTTTTGCCACAGGGGGTCAGCAGCAGACAGAGTCCCTAAGCTATGATGGCTGAATGATTTTGATGGTACTGGGAGGACAGGAGACACCCCTGTTTTGGGCACACGGGTGCAGCTTCCTCACACATCATGGTGCTGGCAATGGAGAAGGAGGGGGAGAGGGTGGTGATGACTGCTTTTAATAGATTCTGTGAAGGATGCTGCCCTATTTGTTTTGCTTTCCTTACCTTGCTCCTTGCTTTCCTAGTTGACATGTTAATTTTGGATTTGTCTTTTTTCCTAAACCCATTGATCTTTGATTATTACTCAAAATGTATTCATGTGAGCAGAAGGTGTAGTATTCCAACGGTATCATTTAAACCACGGAACATCAGTCAAATAAAAAGCAGTAGCTGCTTTGAGTCGTCTAAGAAGCTTACATTTGCCCCCACACAGACACCCATACACACATAGGCTGTGGTAAACACAGGGTCACAGAGGAAATACTCCCATTAATAAGGCATGGATTTGTCTCCGGGCTTCGCCTCGAGGCCCCCTGCTGTTGATAGGAGGGTAGTGGCTTTGTGCAGCAGTGCTTTATTATATGATGTGATTCATACATTGGTTGTTTTACTGACTTTAGTGGTATTTAACACCAGGGTAAAATGGTTGTACCATACCAAACCATGTATATGATCATGTTTGAAAGACAAGTTGATTGTTGTTCTTTCAATTGTATAATCTAATTTAACACATCATAAAGACGAGAGGAATGCTGTTGAAAATGATTCACAAACAATGGATATATTTTTGGTAAAGCTATCAGTGACCTACTATAGATTCACTGAGTAATATTATTCTTTAACCATGGAGTTATACTGCTTTTTTCTTTCAACAGTAAAATGGTTTTGTGTTTCGTCACAGTTACCACCCCTTTCACTAACAAGAAAACAAAGTGTACCTGATTCTAAATCCTCTCTCTCACTTTCTCTCACTCCCCATCATACACTCACAGACATACTAACAGAGCACAGTCTTCCCTAACATATGTTTGGTATGTCAGGTTTGTTGACTTATAGTGGCACACATGGTTCTTACTTTCAAAAGAGTTTTCCTTGCTTAGTATTGCTTGACCATACAGCTCATACTCTAACTCTTTTCCTGTTCAAATACTTACAAAAAGTAATGAATCATTATTTTGTATTTGTTTGCTTTGTGACGATCAATTAGCCAAACTGGTTTTTCTGTTGTTTTTTATATTATGGTATAGTATGTGCCTATTACGGCATTTTATATTTTTATTATATTAACAGAAGGCTGTAACAGATACAGATCAAAATCACATTTTGTATCCAAAATTTACAAACTTTGTACATTTATTTGCACACAAATGCTGATTGTCCACACAAACCCATAACCCTTCTTCTCTTGAACCTGGCGGTAAGTATTTGGTTGCTGTACTTCCCGAAGCCACAGTGTGTATGCAGAACACCAGTCTAACTGACATCTTTTCTGTCTTCTTTCTCTCTTTTATGTTCGTCTTGTTGCCTGCTGCTGTTCCTGTTTTCCCCTTGACTCCTGATGAATCCTGTCTCGCCAAATAAGGTAAGAAATAGTTTTAATGTATTTTGTTCTATTCACAACAATCCCATCACACTCATACAGCACTGATAACTTAGGCACTGACAACTGAACCCAATACTCTAGATCATCGTGCATTAACAGAATTCAAACAAGCATACAACAAATTGCACCGTTTACATTTTCTAAAGTATCTATACATTATACATCTGTACACAAACCTTGCATATAATCTATCACCACTATTGTTGTCGATTGAGTCATTGACGTTTATTTTGTTGGCAACAGATCATGTGTGACAGTGTGAGTGGCTTGATGTTCATAATATGGTGTGATATGTTTTTCTGACCGGGCTGTTACACCAAATTAAGCTCATTTTTACATAGACATTATTTACAATCATTGTAGATAGTGGACATATAAGAGAATTATGATACTTGTCTCTGGATATTAAAGGAGATGATGTATATCCTAATATTACATTGTCATATGTAAGTATTGTCTCTTCTTCATACACTTTCTGGGAGCAAAAGTACTTGACATTTTGAAGGACACATTAGAATAAGACAGCTCATCCTACTATCAGGCTTGTAAGGTTTAAAGAAAGGTTTAACAAGGAATATCAACTGCTTAAGTAAATCATGCCGAATGAAGTTGCAGCTATTGTACTGTCCAGTACAGTATCTTGTATTTTATCAATCCATCAAGCAATCAATCTTTATTTGTATAGCACCAATTAATAACAAGTGTTACACTTTACAAAAGAGCAGGTACAATACCTTACTCTTTGTTATGTTTAAGCTTGAAATAACTTAAAGAATGTACAACACAAAAAATACACTAATGGGGCACAAGCATAGCTGCTTAATGTCTACACTATTCTTGCATATCAGACGTATATCTGTTATTTAAGTTCTCTCATTGATGAAAAGGGCATGAACAACTTAAAATAAACATCTGTTAATATAACACTATACAAATCACCAGGAACATTAACAGCCTCTAAAATGTCCATTCAGTTCAATCAACACCTCCAAAAAATAGTTATCACAAAAAACTGAACATAAGACTCTTTTAGGATTCTGGTCTAGCCCAGTTAATGGAGCAGGCACCCCATGTACAGTCCTCATCACACTGGTTGCTGGTTTGACTCCTGATCTTGATGTCATCACCCACTCTCTCCACCCACATTTCCTGTCCTAACAAATAAAGGCCAACAGGCCCAACAATCATCTAAAACAGGATTTAATGAATGTTGTATTAGTATGAATAAGTTTTAACTGCATAATCGAAGCAACGCGACTGTTTTTATGAGGAAGGAAAATACTACGAAGGGGTTATATACTGCAGTACACTACAATGCAATGCATTTAACATATACGTTTCTAATGAAGCAACCAAATGTTGTATAATAATGTAGTGTTAGATCTGTTACAAGTTAGGCTGGAAACTTAAAGTATGCTTTAACTGCTAAGTCATTTTTTAAAATGAAAAGCCACAGTATGAAGATGGTGAGTGCCACAGTAGTCACCTTTACCTTCTTGCTCGCATGGTCCCTTCTCATGGAGTGTAAATGTTCTACAAAATGTTTGAGTGTATGGTTGCTTGTTTGTAGATGTGTCTTTAACCTGTCTAGGAATATCAGCCCTGAAAATACATTTCTTGCCATGCCCTGAAATACCATCTAAATATTCACCACTTTTATGTGGATGTGCTTATTTTACAATATAACCCCAAAATGTCAGTGTCTAACATTTACCTCACTGCTACACATAACTTTAGTGTAACGTTTGCATAATAGTATATTAAATACAATTATAAACTTAGTAATTAAGCAACACAATCCTATATGTATTTTTCTTAATTCATTCACCTGTATTAGTTTCATAACCTGTAGCAGTAAAACATAGTTTGGTGTGCTTTTGGCAGATCTTCCGTAAAAAATCCTGTATCCACTGAGATACAGAGAGAATGTGGATGTTTGTTTTCTGGTTGCCTGCTGTTTTCAGTGGGAGTCTGTGAGGCTGTGTGCCTCCCAGCAGCAGCATGCAGCAGCAGCTGTTGGCCGCCTGTGTGGCGCTGTCCACCCTTGTGGTGCTGAAAGCAGCTCTGTGCTGTCCCCCTCCCTCTAGCTCTCTCTCACACTCTGCCTCTCTACATCTCCCTCTGTCGTCCAATTTTATTTAAAACAGATCTTTCATATAATTACTCATTTTTGAAGTTCATTTGTATTATAAATCTAAATGAATACAAACGACGTTAATGAATGTATGTATTTTTAAAATTATTTATGTATTATTTGTAGCAGTCATTTTACACGTTACAGCTTTATTACATGACACACACACACACACACACACACACACACACACACACACACACATATATATATACATATATATTATGCCTCTTTTTAGCGGTGGAACATTGCATGGTTATGGTGTATTTATTAATGATTAATGTAAGTGCTGACCAAACATCTATGAAGCACGGTAGTAACGTAACAACTGCTAATTTGCTTCTATCTTTAAAAATTATATTAAAAATAGAAATGAATTGGTGAACTGTTGGTTGATAATGAGTGTTTGTATTTGAGAGAGCGAGAGAGCGAGAGAGAGAGAGAGAATAAATTAGAGCAAACGCCTTCCTACACCGTCTGCACTCCCCCTCCCTTTTCATTTGCTCTACAGACCTCCATACGGGTATTTTACGTCGTCTGCTGACAAAATTGCTTCTCTTAGGCTCGTTGAGAGCTGTGAAAACGTCCTGACGTACGCAGGCTGCATTTCCTTTCTCTGACCACAGGAAGGCAACGAAGAGCCTTGAAAACCACAAAGGCATGTGCATGCATGCAGGTTCATAGGCAGGAAGGTAGATGTATTGACACAAAGCATTATAATTATATGATAGATCATAATTTGATCATTATATGATCAATGAGATCATACAAAAACAGCTTCATCATTTCGACAAAGCTTTTGTCAATCATTTATTTGTATTTTTTTTTTTTTTTTTAATTCTTTAAAAACATTTATATACAACAGTTTTAGGTTATCAATTGTCTATTTCATGAGTCCAATAACTAATATATTATAGAGTCACAATAGTCTTAATAATTTTTCTGTGCATCATACTTTTGCGTCACTGCACTGTAGCCGTTTCCTGATGCCACGATTGGTGGAAATAGGTTTACGTTGTCAACCAATGAAAGCCAGAGCTGTACAAAGAGATCTACTCCCTCTCGTCGAGTAGCTTCGGCGTCGGAACCCTTACAATATTCTGCACAGGAGGAGGGGATGCATATGCAGACTTAAAGCATGACTGTCACTGTTATGTATATGGATACATCAGTATTGGATCATAGACCTTGCATACTTAACCAGTTAAGAAATTGGGATTGGAGTAAAAAGACATGGGATTTATGGAACGAGGAATAATGTGGAACAAATTGGCTGCATGGCAGGTGTTCTTGTGGTGGCATCTTTTCTTTCTCTTGTGGAGTACAATAGACGGACAGACGCGTTACAGCATCCCGGAGGAGCTGAAACAAGGATCTGTGGTTGGAAATCTAGCCAAAGATTTGGGTTTGGTTGTATCTGAACTATATCGACGCAAATTGCGGATTACCTCAGAGGCTGGTAAGCAGTATTTTAGTGTGGACTTGGGGAAGGGAGAACTGGTGGTGATTGATAGAATAGACAGGGAGCAATTGTGTGAACAAAGACCCTCATGTTTGTTGCCTTTAGAACTAGTTATAGATAGCCCTTTGCAGCTGCATAGAGTCGAAATAGAAATACAAGATACAAACGATAATTCTCCCAGTTTTCCTACGAAAGAGAAGGTGGTGAAAATTGCGGAACTAGTTAATCTAGGGGCACGATTTCCTTTAGAAAGTGCACAGGACCCAGATGTCGGTACTAATTCTGTGCGTTCTTACCTCATTAGCAAAAATGACAATTTCAAATTGACTGTTAAAAACCACAAAGATGGTCGAAAAATCCCCGAGCTGGTCCTTGAAAAACCACTTGATCGAGAAAAGCTGCCTGTGCATAATCTTATCCTCACCGCTGTAGATGGTGGAGAGCCAGCGCGCTCAGGGACATCTGAAATTACAGTTATAGTACTGGACAATAATGACAATGCTCCACAGTTTGAAAGACAGTTGTATGAAGCCAATGTCAGCGAAAAGGCAACACCTGGGACCGAAATATTGCATGTGAAAGCCACAGATGCAGACGAAGGACTAAATGGAGAAATTGAGTATTTCTTTGCAGAGCAAACCACGAACCTGATTTTATCATTATTTGACATTTTACCATCTGGAGCTATTGTTGTCAAAGGATCCATAGACCATGAAACGAAATCTTTACATAGATTTGACATAACTGCTAAGGACAAGGGTAATCCTGAGATGGATGGGCACTGTGGCGTCGAAATTAAAGTAGTTGACATTAATGACAATATTCCTGAAATTATTGTGACATCTCTAACAACACCTGTTCCAGAAGACTCTGCAGTCGGGACTGTTATTGCGTTGATAAGTGCAAAAGACTCTGATTCAGGCGACAATGGCAAAGTTAAGTTGAGCTTGTCTTCAAAATCCCCCTTTCAGTTAAATCCATCAGTCTCCAACCATTATTCGTTAGTGACGAAAGGGCCTCTTGACCGTGAAAAACACGACCATTATAGTGTCAAAATAATTGCTACTGATTCTGGTAACCCCCCATTATCAAGTGAAAGGATAATACTTGTTGAATTGTTGGATGTAAATGACAACCCACCAGTTTTCTCCCAACCTTCTTATGTTGTTTATGTAAAAGAAAACTATTCTCCGGGAAGGATTTTGTGCTCGGTGTCAGCAACAGATTCTGATTCTGGTGACAACTCGAAGATATCCTACTCTATACTGGACTCTAAAGTGCAGGACGTTTCTGTGTCCTCTTATGTTTACATTAACTCAGATAACGGCAGCATCTACAGCATGCACTCGTTTGACTATGAGAAACTGAAGGTGTTTCAGATTCAGGTTCAGGCAAAGGACCAGGGCTCTCCTTCTCTCAGCAGCAACACCACTGTCCATGTTTTTATCCTGGACCAGAACGACAATGCCCCCGCTGTTATTTACCCCTCCTCCGCTGCCATGGGCTCCCTCTCTCATCAGAGGATGCCCCGCTCGGCTAAAGCGGGTCACCTGGTTACTAAGGTGACAGCCGTGGACGCAGACTCGGGCCACAACGCGTGGATCTCCTACAAAGTGTCGGAGGCCACAGACGCCTCTCTGTTCACTGTCAATCTGTACACAGGGGAGGTGAGGACTAAACGCGCTGTGTCCGAGCAGGACGACTCCTCTCAGAGGCTGCTTATAGAGATCAAGGACGACGGGGAACCGGTCCAGTCAGCCACCGTCACGGTGTCCATCCTGCTGGAGGACGGTCTCCATGAGCCCATCTTAGACCTCCGACAGAAAGCGTTCGAGCCCAGCAAGAAAACTGGCAGAATCACCCTTTATTTGATCCTCTCTCTGGCCTCGATTTCCGTGCTGTCTCTGGTGACTTTTCTCATCTTAGCGGTGAAATGCATCAGAAACAGCAGAAGCAGCGCGAGTTGCTGCACGAGACAGAGTGACTGTGACGATTACAAGAACCCCAACAGAAACCTGCAGCTTCAGCTCAACACTGATGGACCTATAAAGTACGTGGAGGTCCTGGGAGGAGACATGTTGTCTCAGAGTCAGTCCTTCAGGTCCTGTATGTCTCCTATGTCAGAGTACAGTGATTTCACTCTGATTAAACCCAGCAGCACCACTGACTTTAAGGAGGTCATCAGTGTCCTGGATGCGTCTTTACCCGACAGCACCTGGACCTTTGAGAGCCAGCAGGTGAGCACATAAATAATCATGTAGCTTAGTATTTTACCTTTTATTTCGTACAGGATTTAATCATAGTTTTATCATAACCAATCAAATCAAATCAAATCAAACTATTCTATCTATCTATCTATCTATCTATCTATCTATCTATCTATCTATCTATCTATCTATCTATCTATCTATCTATCTGTCTAAACAAGTCACTCAATAACATTTAAACCGTCATTTCAAACCATTTCAGAACCACATATGGTGGACAGCGACACTCTGGTGAATACAGGAAGCTTTAATGCCTATTTTTCTCTCTGTTTAAAAAGCGTATCTTATTGTATTTTATTTTATGTTTTTGATAGTATTACCCTTATATCCTTAACGTCTTAATAGTCTTAAAGTAGTTGACTGTGGTTAAAGTGAAGTTGTGTATCATGAATACATACTGCGACTTTAAGAGTGTCGATCAGTTCTCCTCTCATTGGACGATAGACGTTGATGCTGTACACCAATAGGATTTAGAATTGTACAAAGCGATCTTGTCCCTGCCCCCATGCAGCCTCAGTTCTTCAGCACGTAGAATACAGGGAGGTAGGGAAGGAGACAACAATGAGCTTCTATTTTACAATGTGGCAGATTGTATAATTCAAGCTACAGCCATGAGCAGTAAATATGGAACATATTATTTTGGAATAACATCTGCAGCGATGGATTTGTGTACTGTTCTATACAAGATGTCGATTGGAATAAATGCGTTATAGCGGACCAAGGATGACAAAGAGAGAGGGATACCGAGACTGGAGATGGCAGGCGCTCTGGTGGCATCATTTCTTTCTCTTGTGGACTACAATAGACGGACAGACTCGTTACAGCATCCCGGAGGAGCTGAAACAGGGCTCTGTGGTAGGAAATCTAGCCAAAGATCTGGATTTGGGACTGTCAGACATTTTTGAGCGTAAGCTGCGTGTCGCCTCTGAGGCTGGTAAGCAGTATTTCAGTGTGGATGCGGGGAAGGGCGAGCTGGTAGTAAATGACAGAATAGACAGAGAGGCATTATGTGGACAAAGCGCCAGCTGTGTTCTACCTCTGCAGGTTGTAATTGAAGATCCTTTACAACTGTTTCGTGTTGAAGTAGAAATTCAAGACATAAATGACAATGCGCCTAGATTTCCATCGAATGATATCACATTGGAGGTTGCAGAATCCACAGCTTTAGGAGTTCGTTTTCCCTTAGAGAGTGCTATAGACCCAGATTCCGGCAGTAATTCAGTAAAGACTTACACTCTGAGTAGAGATGAATGTTTTAATATTAGACTTAAAGAGGTTGCCGGTGGGAGAAAAGTCCCTGAATTGATTTTAGTAAAAACTTTAGATCGAGAGAAAAAGGCTGTTCATAAGCTTTTGTTGACAGCTCTCGATGGAGGCAACCCTGTACGATCAGGGACCGCTCAGTTATCTATTTCAGTTCTTGACAACAACGACAATGTCCCAGCTTTTGAGAAACCGTTATATAAAGTTTCCATTAGTGAAAACGCTGCAGAAAGAGTCCTGATAGTGCAAACAAAAGCGACAGACATGGACGATGGCCAAAACGGAGAGATAGAATACTCTTTTGGAGCTCACACATCAGAGTCTGTTCTCTCTGTTTTCACTATTGATCAAACAACAGGCACAATATTTCTAAATGGTATACTCGATTTTGAAGAGACCGCAAATTATGAACTAGACGTCAGTGCTAAAGACAAAGGCAGTCCAAGAATGGAGGGACACTGCACTGTGCAAGTGGAAGTTTTAGATGTCAACGATAATGCCCCAGAAATCATACTCACGTCTCATCCAAAACCAGTGCGCGAAGACTCTCCTAATGGGACCGTAGTAGCTTTGATCAGTACCCGAGACCTCGATTCAGGTGTTAACGGTAAAGTAACATTACAGCTCCCACAGAAATGTCCATTTGTCTTAAAACCGTCTTTTTCTCAAAATTATGCTCTAATTACCAGCGGCGTTTTAGATCGAGAAAATGTCTCTCATTATAATATTGAGATAACAGCCACTGACTCAGGCTCCCCTCCTCTCTCCAGTAAGAAAAGTATACCTGTCATCATCACTGATGTGAATGACAACCCTCCTGTATTCACTCAGCCCTCCTATAATGTGTATTTAAAAGAGAATGGAGTACCAGGCTCTATCCTGTACTCAGTATCAGCATCTGACCTGGATTCTGGTGAAAACGCCAAAATCTCTTACTCTTTACTGGACTCTAAAGTGCAGGACGTTTCTGTGTCCTCGTATGTTTACATTAACTCAGATAACGGCAGCATCTACAGCATGCACTCGTTTGACTATGAGAAACTGAAGGTGTTTCAGATTCAGGTTCAGGCAAAGGACCAGGGCTCTCCTTCTCTCAGCAGCAACACCACTGTCCATGTTTTTATCCTGGACCAGAACGACAATGCCCCCGCTGTTATTTACCCCTCCTCCGCTGCCATGGGCTCCCTCTCTCATCAGAGGATGCCCCGCTCGGCTAAAGCGGGTCACCTGGTTACTAAGGTGACGGCCGTGGACGCAGACTCGGGCCACAACGCGTGGATCTCCTACAAAGTGTCGGAGGCCACAGACGCCTCTCTGTTCACTGTCAATCTGTACACAGGGGAGGTGAGGACTAAACGCGCTGTGTCCGAGCAGGACGACTCCTCTCAGAGGCTGCTTATAGAGATCAAGGACGACGGCGAACCGGTTCAGTCAGCCACCGTCACGGTGTCCATCCTGCTGGAGGACGGTCTCCATGAGCCCATCTTAGACCTCCGACAGAAAGCGTTCGAGCCCAGCAAGAAAACTGGCAGAATCACCCTTTATTTGATCCTCTCTCTGGCCTCGATTTCCGTGCTGTCTCTGGTGACTTTTCTCATCTTAGCGGTGAAATGCATCAGGAACAGCAGAAGCAGCGCGAGTTGCTGCACGAGACAGAGTGACTGTGACAATTACAAGAACCCCAACAGAAACCTGCAGCTTCAGCTCAACACTGATGGACCTATAAAGTACGTGGAGGTCCTGGGAGGAGACATGTTGTCTCAGAGTCAGTCCTTCAGGTCCTGTATGTCTCCTATGTCAGAGTACAGTGATTTCACTCTGATTAAACCCAGCAGCACCACTGACTTTAAGGAGGTCATCAGTGTCCTGGATGCGTCTTTACCCGACAGCACCTGGACCTTTGAGAGTCAGCAGGTGAGCATATAAATAATAATCGATCTGCCTAATAGGGAAACAATCTGCATTGTCACTTGTTATTTCGTTAAGAATCTAATCATGGTTTTATGTAACTCAATAAACAGTTCTATCCATCTATCTATCTATCTATCTATCTGTCTATCTATATATGTCTATCGTCCTTCTCTATTGGACTATTTCTATTTGTATATTTAAAAACATAGTTTTTGCGACACAATTGTCATTGCCTGCCTTTAAATGTGAACCATGTGAACAATTCAGCACCACCATAGCGGACAGCGACTGTGAGATTAAATCATGATCATGTGACGTCTGAACGGTGCTGATTTATTTACTTTTTATTATCATCATTATAGATCACTTTTATGTTGTATACTTATTGTTAGTTTTTCATCCAGCAAATTATTAAAACAAAACTTAACATGAGACTCTGGCTGTATACAGGCTGTGATGTTTATTTTATGTTTGCCATGAACCCGTTTTTTATCACAGTGATTGATATTCATTAGATTTTGTAACGATCACCCTGCATGAAGGCTCCCACGCGGAATAGATGCTGCCACTTTAAGAGTGTCGATCGGTTCCTCTCTCATTGGATGGCGGATATAGATGCTGTGCACCAATAGGAATCAGAATTGTACAAAGCAATCTAGTCCCTGCCCCCATGCAGCCTTAGCGCTGTAACACTTAGAATGGAAGAGCTCGAGGAGAGAGACAGCACTGAGCTCGTTTTTTTAAGATATAGATATATGAATTACAGTTTACAACCATGCTCTTACACTGTGTAAGGCTTTTTTTGGATACATTTCCTGATATTCGGGATTATACAATTGTTATTTACAAGATCTCGATTGGAATGCATATTTAAAAGCGGACCAAGGATGACAAAGACAATAGGATACCGAGACTGGAGATGGCAGGCGCTATTTTGGCATCATTTCTTTCTCTTGTGGACTACAATAGACGGACAGACTCGTTACAGCATCCCGGAGGAGCTGAAACAGGGCTCTGTGGTAGGAAATATTGCCAAAGATCTGGATTTGGGACTATCAGAGATTTTTGAGCGAAGGCTGCGTGTCGCCTCTGAGGCCGGTAAGCAGTATTTCAGTGTGGATTCGGAGAAGGGCGAGCTGGTAGTAAATGACCGACTAGACAGAGAGGCTTTGTGTGGACAAAGCGCCAGCTGTGTTCTACCTCTGCAGGTTTTGATTGAAAATCCTTTACAGTCTCATCGAATTGAAGTGGAAATACGAGACATAAATGACAATTCTCCTAGTTTCCTTTCAAGTGAATTATCTTTAAAATTAGCAGAATCAGCAGCCGTGGGTACCCGTTTCCCATTGGAGAACGCGCAGGATCCTGATGTTGGAAGCAATTCCTTGAAAACCTACTCTTTAAGCAGAAACGATTATTTTTCTCTCAAACTCAAAGACACGAAAAATGGTAGAGCTGTCCCAGAACTAGTTTTAGAGAAGCCATTAGACCGTGAAAAGAATGCACAGCACCAATTGATGTTGACAGCGTTAGATGGAGGAAACCCGGTCAAATCGGGGACCTGCAAGATTACAATCACTGTACTTGATATTAACGACAATTTCCCAATATTCAATGAACATGAGTACAAGGTTTCTTTGAAAGAAAACAGTACCAAAGGAACCTTTGTGATCAAACTTACAGCTACGGATGCTGATGAGGGTTTTAATGGTGAAGTCAAATATTCCTTTGGGTCTCGCACTCCAGACTTAGTGTCATCAACATTTGAAATAAACGAAAAGACGGGAGAAATAGTTTTAAGAGGAGCA